TGGGAAGCAGGGTGAGGCGCTCGGTGATCCCAGGCATGCTTCAGACCTGATAGGAAGGTTTGTTTCAAGCTGCTCACACCCTGGGGGCTAAACCAGTCCTTGTCCTTGGGGTCAGGAAAGAGATTTCCTTCTGCTAGACTGATGGGGAGTTTTGGTGGTTGGTTCTCCCCCTTGTACTCCTCAGAGGTGCTTTCTTGGCAGCATCTGCTTGTAAACATGGAAAAGTCAAGCATCACGGACGCCTTTAATCACTCAGTGTCTTGCTGGATGTTTTGGGCCCTGTCATAGGTTAACCCCGGTAGGGAACTCAGCCCCACACGGCTGCTCACTCCCCACAGTGGGATGGGGAAGAGAACTGGAAGGGTAAAAGTGAGCACACTGGATACGGAGAGCTTCATAGGTAAAGCAGCTGCTGTGCATCCATGACAGGCAAAATCAGGCATTCTTTCACTGCCTCCTGGTGGCAGGCAGGTGTCCAGCCATTCCCAGGAAAGCAGAGCTTCAACATGTGTATCAAGGACTTGGGAAGACAAACACAGGAACTCGTAATGTGCCCCCTTCCTCCTCCTTTTCCCCAGCTTTTCTTGTGAAGCACAGCATCATATGCAATGAAATAAGCCAGCTGGGGTCTGCTGTTGCAGCTGTGCCCCATCCCAACTTCTTGTGCACCCCCAGCCTGCTTTTGCTGGCAGGGTGGCATGAGAAATAGAAAATGCCTTGATGCTGTGCAAGCCCTCTTTGGCAAGAACTAAAACACGGCTGTGTATCAACACTGATGTGCTCTGTGGCCAGTCGTACAGCCAGGAGAAGATGTTCTAAGTCTGTTTGGGACACAGGTGCCTGAAGCAACTCAGATCATCCCTTCCAGCCTTGTACTGGATCCCTGAGGGGATTTGCATGGGGCTGTCTGAATCTCTGTGGGACAGGGCATCCGCTACCACTCTGAGGAAGGCAGAGGTGCAAAAGCTGGGACAAGAGGGTTGGAAGGCAGCAGGGGTATCGTAGGCTGCCAGATGTGGTAGTGGGAGGGAAGCTGTGGTGGAGGGTGCCAGCCAAAGGGATGGCTCTTTGCTTTCTAGCATGCCCCAGCAGCTCATTTTCTTGTTTGTCTTCACAGGTCGGAAGAAGGAGATTGACCTCTTTGTCAACTGCTTGGAAGCCTCTAACCGTTTTGGACAAAGACACATACTGGCATTTGAGGGCGCAAGGGGCGCTGGGAAGAGCCAATTACTTAATCACCTGTCCCAGTTAGGCCAGTCTGCTGGCTGCAGGTACAGGGTTTTGTCCTGTAGTTTTGGGACACTGCTTCTTTCCATCCCTGAGAGCCATGGAACGCTCCAGCCCCTTGGCCAGTGTGCCTTGGCCTTGGACTGAAGCCTCCTCAAAAAGCCTCATGGAGGCATTCCATAGTTATCTCCTGCGTGCTCTGCTCCTGCCCCTGTCTCTTCGGGGTGTTGGAGGTGCTACTTGACCTGTGGTGTTTCCTCCTTCACAAATAGAAGGAAAAAGCCCAAACTTGGTGCTTTGCATTGGATTCCAGATGCAACATATAGCAGGGTGGCCTGTCTCAGAAGCCCTGCTTGCCCCCTGACTGTTTCCCAGAAGGAATACTGGGCCAGAAAAGCCTTTCTGTGGCTGAGAGGCAGACTGCTAAGGTCTGGAGCCCAAAGGCAAACACCACTTGCTCCATGATCACCTCTTAGCTCTGCAAGTCCCTCTGCAGTAGGGAGGTAGGGAGACATGGACCAGCGTTGCAGAGACCAGAACGGGTCTGGACCTAGCTCTCCCAGTGGCTTGGCAGCAACTGCCTCTCTGTGCCCTTTCTCTTACAAGGAGTGAAACTCCGGGTACCACTTTGAAGTGGGAGGCTGAAGAGTTCCCCCTAAAGGCAACTCCAGCTCTTTTGTCTTAGAAGACCTGGGCCGTTGGGGATCTCAGTGCCTTTTGCTTTTGCATGGCAGGGTATTTGGCATGGAACTGCTAGAGGTCAACGTGAGGCAGTCCTTCTCTGCCATGCGTATTCTGATGGCCAGGGTGATGGGCCTCCATGAGTGTGAATCGTGCAGTGCCAGGGAGCACGTGCTACGGACAAATCTCAACGGGATAATTGAAGAGAGCAACTACTGCCTCCTCAATGACATCTTCCTTGTGAAGGTGAGAGCGAGAGGCCTCTCTGACCCTGGAGAAGGCTTTCTCCTGAGCCCTTCTGGTTCTTCAGCAGTCTTCTAAGGCTGCTGGAGTGCCTTAGCTCAGGGGGAGGGATTGCAGGGGGTCACAGCACATGTTTCCCATTCCTGGCCCCGGGGGCTGCCTGTATGTGGTGACTTAATGTCCCGCGCTGCATCTGGCAGTGCCTGGTGCCTTGTTCGGCATTCTGGAAGCAGCACTGGAATGAGGCTGGGTCAGACCTTGTGCTGAGGTCATTGCTGTGTGAGTGGTCTGCTCCAGCCAGCCCAAGATCCCACAGTCAGAGAACCAGCTCTTCAGCCCACCCCCAAGATGCAGCTCTGCCTGAGCCTCTGCTTTAGGCTCTAGTTGAAGTCCCACTGTGGCCTCTTGCACCCATGCTGGGGAGAGGGAAGGTGCTGAGGCAGAGCAGGGAGGGTTTGCTCTGCCATCTTGCTTGGTGGGTAGGTGTAGCGAGCCCTGGAGACGTTTCTCCCTGACTTTGCTTTTCTGTCTAGTTTCCCATTTCAGACAAGGTTCGCCAAATGCATGAAATGCAAAGGAAAGAGGAATTGCATTCAACCTGGGCAAAAGTGCTAGAGAAGGTGAGCATTTCTCCTTTTCTCCTTCGGGGTCAGAGGAGGAAAACAACCCTGCTGGCTCTGGGCTCTGTGCCACAGCAGTGTGAGTGGGTGGGAGGACCTGGTCCTTGCCCTCTAGGGCCTGAGAAACCCCCCATGTTCTCTCCATAGCCCGACAAGCAATACTAGTAACTTTCCTCCCTTAAAGCGTTCCCTGGAGGAGAGAGAATTCTGCGTTCCCTTGCCCAAGCTCCTCCTCCTTCTGCAGGGCAGGTGATGTTAAGCATGACCTGAAAATCTCAAAGAAATTAGGCATTGGGAAGCTTCCAAGCACGGAGTTGGTTGGGGTGAGACTTGAGAGCATCCTCTCAAGAGACAGAGGCAAAATCTCCTTCCCCGTAAGACACTTGAGAATCCACTGGATTCCCCTCAGAACAACCCTTTTTTTTCCAGACCATTGACAGAAATGCCATATTTGTCATCGACAATGCCCATTTCATTGACCCCGCCTCCTGGAGTATCATGGCACCTCTGCTCTGGAACATCTCTGTCTTCATGGTCATGAGCTTATGTCCCGGCTTTGCAAGAACCGAGAGCTTTCACAAAGCCACAGCAAACAACCTGATGTCCCATAAAATCATCTGCTTTCAACTAGAGAAGCTGAAACCTTCAGCTGTGGCGCAGAAGCTCTGCCACGACCTTGGAGTGGTCAGCATCCCTAGGGCTTTAGTGAGGTAAGTTGGAGCAGGGGAGCTCCCTGGACACGAAGCATAGGAGCTGCCAACCCTTTGCTGTTTCACAAGGAGGAAGGGAGGAAGACCCCCAAGGCCAAGCATATCTGGGGTGTGAAAAGGGCTTGGTCTAAGTGGCCAGGCTGTGTGGCAGATTCCCTGGGGCAGAAGTCTGCCCTGCTGCCAGCGAGCACCTAAGCTCCTGAGGAGAGGAAAGGCAGGGCTTGCTGCTCTGTGCTTTGGGCACTGTCTGCAAGTCTTTCCCCAGGGACTTCAGCAAAGGCTGGAGGTTCAGGGGGGCCAAAAACCACATGCCAGCAGGAGGACCTCCCTTTCAGAAGTGAGGTGTAGCTGTGACAAAGATGCTGGCTCCCCAGCTATGCCTGAGTGGCTTGCTACCCACCTCAACTGTTTTTCCTTTTAGGGTGGCGAGTCACTGGAACATGTTGTCCAAAGATGTGGTGAATGCTCCACCCCTGGGAGTGTTCAAGGTCGGGTTGGACAGAGCCTTGGGCGACATGGTCTAGTGTGAGGTGTCCTTGCCCATGGCAGGGGGTTGGAACTAGATGATCCTAAGGTCCTTTTCTATGATTCTACTTTTCTTGTGCTGATCACTGCTGGATCTGTTCCTGCCCAGGTTCCTGGTCCAAAGAAGCTTGGGGATCCCGTATTACTTGGAGGAGCTGGTGCACTTCCTTCGTTGCAACGACATGCTCTTGTTCCGCACCAAGAAGTGGGGTGAAAAAGCAGAGGACAGCTGGGAGAACCTGAACAGTAAGAACCTTTGCCACTGACTAATGAGTTGCTGTGTTGCATTCCCTACAGCACAAACTTGCCCCTTCATTGCCCCATGGATTAGGGGCAGAGTAAGATCTTGCAGCAGATCATGCAGAACTTGGCCTGGCAGAGGCACGGGCTTCTGTGTGCCTTGTTGTCAGGACAGCCAAAGCAGTGGCTCACAAGTTGTGGCTTGGAGGGGCCTCAGTTCTTGGGGCTAAACCTCAGGGGAAATGGTTCTGGACCACGTGTGTTGTGGTCCTGAGACGTTCTCATGAGCACAGAACTTACGTTGGCCAAATGCTAGCTTAACTGAGAACAAACTCCAGCTTGAGGTGAGGGCCAGGCGCGGGAAACTTCCAGTGAAAACTATTTTGCTCTGCTTAGAGAGCATGTTCAGCACCCGCAGGTCAGTGCACGTGTACTGTGTGGTGTGAGGGGGCCTTGGACTATTTCAGGTGAACTTGGAAACATTTTCAGGCTGCAGGTCACTTTGCAAATTGCCTCATTCCTTCTCTCTTCCTCCACCTAGCTTTTGCAGTCTTGGAGTCATCCCTCACAGCAAGCTCAAGGTCCAGAGCAGGGGCTGCGGCCATGATCTGCATTGTAAGGCCAGGCGTGAACCTGGACAGCACCATGCTGCCCAGTAACTTGAAAGGTGAGGGGCAGAGAGCCACTCTGCTGGCCCTTGGCTGTGCCGCAGGGGCTGGAGGGAGGCTGGGCATCACTGTGCTGCAGAGTCACCCTCTCAGCTTTGGGGCTGTCCTTGGAAAAGGTGGCTCTGCTCCAACCAGCAACAGTCCTGGCACTGTGGGCAACCATTTTCCCTTCCTGTGTGTGGAGCAGCTTGAGCCTGCTGGTTGCTTTCCAGCAGCAGGTAGAAGAGGAAAAGTTGTTGGTGCAACACTAAAATGACTCCCTTTTCTCACAGAAGCTACTTTGTCTCTACTGGGACAAAAATTTGACTTGCCTCTGACTCACCTTTGAACACAGCTTCTATCTTGCTACTTTCTTTTTGAGTTCCCCAGCTAACAATGGTTTCATGGCATGTTGTGGTGGTTTAAGCCCAGCCACGCATCTCACACTGTCACTCCCCCCCACCCCCCCTCCCGGTGGGAGGGGGAGGAGAATGGAAAGAATGTAACTCCAATGGGTTGAGATAAGAACAGTTGAGTAACTAAGGTATAACACAAACCACTACTGCTACCACCAATAATAATAATGATAAGGGAAATAACAAGGGAAAGAATACAACCGCTCACCACCTGCCAACCGATACCCAGTCCGACCAAGCAGGGATCTGACCCTTCCTGGTAACTGCCCCCAGTTTACATCCTGGGCATGATGTGCTGTGGTATGGAATACCTCTTTGGCTAGTCTGGGTCAGCTGTCCTGTCTCTGCTTCCTCCTGGCTTCCCCTCCTCCCTGGCAGAGCATGAGACTCAGAAGATCCTTGGTCAGACTAAACATTACTTAGCAACAACTAAAAACATCGGTGTTACCAGCGTTGTTCCGAGGCTAAAGTCAAAAACACAGCAGTGCACCAGCTACTAAGAAGGAGAAAAATGACTGCTCCTGCTGAACCCAAGACACACGTAATTAAAAAAAATAAACCACTTTCCTGCGGATTTTCATGGAAGTTCCCCTGTAGCCAGGGGAACTGTCAATGACTGTTGAATGTCCCTCCTGTCTGTCAGTAGCCATTTGTATGAACCTTGAAGAAACATTCCTGCTCTTAAGTTGTTTTGCCCAAAGCAACCCAAGAAGAAAAGTCAAAGAAAAGAAGAGTAAGGTCTGGCTGAGTTGAGACAACCTTTCTCGGGAGCTCTGAGTTCACCTCTGAGGTGGTGAAAGTTGTCTGTTCCCTGCTTGCAGTGCTGGCAAAAACCTAGTCCAGGTTTGGTAGGGCACATTGTGGGACGCACGTACCTGCTGGATCCTGCCCTATCCCAGTGGGGGAGTGTGTCTGTTGAGTGTCTCACTTTTTCCCAGGCCCTGTGAACTGCAAATCCAGTAGGAGCGGAGCCATTGTGCAGACACCTGTCCTGGGCTGCAGTTGCCCAGAAGTGGCCAGTGTAGGGCCAAAGCCTATCCTGTTCATGTGTCGAATCTTTGCAGTGCCTCCAGCCTCAGCGTGGGGAAGAGGCAGGACTGAGATGTGTGGCTTCTCCTTGACAGAGATTGTGCTGGCTCAGCTGGACGAGATCACCCCACTGGAGCAGACAGTTTTGAAGTTTGCAGCCATCATCGGGCCGGTGTTCACTACGCAGCTGCTGTCATACATTCTTCCGATTAGAATGAGGCACAAGATGACTACCTTGTTGGACAGTCTAGTGAGTGACAACATCCTCAAGTGGATGGAGAGCACTGAGGAGCCAGAAGACGTCCAAGATCCTAGCAAGGAGCCAGCCACCCCTCCGCAGGCAGAGATTGGTAAGTGGTAGCAGTGGGGTGGACAAGGAGCTCCCAGATGTGTCCTGGATGGGCTCCTAAGGGCATGGCGTGATTCCCTTCCTGTGAGGGCTGGCATGGCTGTTGGGGATGGGTTTGTCAAAGCTGTTACAAGTCAGTCTGAAAGCACACTAGGTTTGCACTGGAGGGAAGTTCCCACCAGCTGTCCCAAATGCCTCTGCTCCCCTGAATCCAAGTGCTGCTCGTAGCGGATGGAATCCGTGACATCCTCTCCCAGCCACCTGCAGCATCCAGACAAAAGATGCCCTCCAGAATGGCCCAGGGTCTTCAGCAAGCTTTTATTGGGCTTTGATTACCCTGTGATGCAGGGTTCCTGCTCAGGAGGCTGGTGGCTGCCTTGCCAAGAGTGGGGAGAAAGTGCTGGCTGGGGCTTGCTTTGGCTGGCAACAACATCCCCAGCTCCTGCCTGGACCAGTGCAGCTGAGAACTGCATCCCCAAGGCTGTGCTAGCATCAGCCCTTTCACCCCATGCTGCAGGGCTTGGCGTGCAGCAGCACTGTTGCTATTCAGGATGTGCACCGAGGCATGACTGCCTCCCCATCTGGCCACAGCTTGGGCTCATACAAAGGCCCTTTGCCTTGCAGGTGTGGAGACCTCCCCCCCAAGCAAGCAGAGTGTGGGGTGTCCATTTGGTGTGCTGATGTTCCATAAGCCGCTGCTGCGGGAGGCTGCCTACGAGCTGTGGGTCCAGAAACAGCGGGTCACCCTGCACTCCAAGTGTGCTGCCTTCCTGGAGCGGTATGCACACAAATGCCAGAGCTGCGGCCAAGGGGACTTTATTGTCTTCCACCGCTTCGCTGTCACCAGCACCCAGGACAAAGGGAGCTGTAAGGACTTTGATGGTGGGGATGACCCACACACCTGGAAGGCCTTGGTGCTGGCTGGAAAACAGCTGAAGAAGGAGAGGTTTTACATCTCTGCAGGTATGCTGTGCACCATGCTCTGTAATTTGGGCCCTCCGGGAGCCCAGGGATTGGTGCCGGGGGTCGAGTGGGAGTAGATCTGCTAGGAACGAGCCCAGCAGGAGTGGACACCCACTGCAGACTTTCCTCGGTGTGTTAGCGCCTTGCAAGGATCCTTGCAGGCCTACTGGGAGAGGGAGAGCAACTCTTATCCCAGGATACGTGTGGGAGGTGTCCCTCTTTTTCTTTCAAGGTATTACAGATACTCAGGAGGAGCAGCAGCAGCAGCAAGCTTTTGTGGAAGAGGATTTTGGGTGAGCAGACAAGGTTCTGATTCTTTTTGAAGCGAGCGAGTTCAGGGTGTGCAGAGGAGACAAAGAAAATGCTGGCTTTTGGCTGTCAGCTGTGACTCTAGCTTAGCGAAGAGGCTTTCCGTGGGGTGGGAGCTGAGAGGAGATGGCTGTGGAGATGAGTGCTTAAGGACGCCCATGGCTCAGTGTCAAAGAAGCCCTCGCTTTCCAGTTCCTGCAGAGTAGTACTGCAAAATCTACAGGGAAAAAGCCACCACAAGGGCTCAGCTGGTTTGCCTGTGGGAGGTGACAGAAAGCCTAGCTTCTTCCTTACTCCCTCCTCCCAAAGGACTTGTATGACTAGTACCTGTCTGTGGCTTCCTGCTCTGCTTTGCACAAAGGGCTTTTGATGTTGTCTCTGGGAAGGAAGACCACTCTAGATGATACCCTTGTATTCTTTGCTCTCTTCTTCCCCTGGGCACTGTCCTCTGGGTAGTGCGACTGACAGAGAGGACAACAATGCGCTCTCATGTGACTGCAAAGGCATCGTGGAGTCAGTGCTTGTGCCATTGGTTCACCACTACACAACACTGGGCAATGCTGCCAGAGCCTTTTACTATCTTCTGGAGACTGCAGCTGCCTACCTGCATGTCTCCAACTACTACATGGTGAGTTGCCCTGCTTGCAGTGTGTCCTGCCTGGCTCTGGGAAGGACAAGTTTGCGTTGCACTAGGACATGACTTTGTGGGTCCTTGGAAGGAAGATGTTGAGCTCTGAGCCTCACTTCTTCCTTTGGTTTGCCTCTTGTGTGGGAAGAGGCATTGGGTGCTGTGCCCTTAGCATGAGGGGCATTAGCAGGGAGGAGGCCTGAACGATCAGCGGTGCCTGTGCTCTGAGGCACACAGTCAAAAACATGACTGTTTGTGCAGGTATCACCAGGGGAAGAAACAGACCCTCTGAAGACAGATGCCAGAGGCAATGGGGGAGGACAAGGGTAGCCATGGGCTCTGCACTAATCTCACCTGCTCTCCGTGTGCTTGCACAAAGGCCCTCAGGAAGCTGAGCGAAGCAGATATCCTGAGGAACACTCTAAAGAGTAAAGCGAATGTGATATCCCGCTTTGAAGATGCCACCTTCTTCAGCCTCAAAGGGGAGGTAAAGGGGCGGTCTGGAGGGATCTCCTGAGTGATGGAGCTGGATGCCTTCCCCAGATGCGGTGGACAGGAGAGCTCTGGCTTCTCTGGCCACTGGCAGATCCCTGCAGTCTCTTGGGCATCTAGTCCACATTGGGATGTTTCCCTTTTCCTGTGCAGGTCTGCTACGGTGTGGGACGCACAGAGCTGGCAAAGAAAATGCTCAGAAAGGCTTTGAGCCTGCTTGGAAGGCCATTTCCCCGGAACCGCGCTGAAGACTTTGTCAGGTCGCAGGTTGAAAAATTGCAGTGTGCCGCTTACGTTGCCAGAAGAGCATCTTCCCTTCCACAGAAGGCCCAGTAAGAAACACGACCAAGAACCCGGGGGAGAAAGAGTTATTTCCTACCTGGTCACAGGCATATGGGCACAGAGCTGACGAGGCTTGAGGCCACACAGAGCAATGTGAGGGTAGAACAGGGAATGATAAAGTTCCTCTCTCCCTCCCTCCCTCTGAGGCCCTTGGAACAAAGCATACCTTAGGGTATGAAAGCAGCTTGCAGCCAGGGATGTGTCTGCTGGCACGAGTTGTGGCAGTGGATTGGTGCTGGCTGGGAAGCGAGAGCTGTACTGAAAAGGGGTGGGGGGGCTGGAGGCAGGACCAGGGCATGGAGAAGGAGCAGTAAGAGGAGCTTGGCCCCCCTGGTGCTGTCAGGCCAACATCCTCTCTAGCGGCCAGCTTCCCACTGTGGTACTTGTTGTTTGCCCCTTTCCCTTCTGGCAGCTCCCCCTCCATCAGCTCTATTTCCTCCAAGGAAGTGTAACGGTCTTGTCTGGCACCCGTTTTGCCCCCTGGCCCTGTCTGACCCAGCTCATAGGCTCTAGCCTGTACAGCTAGAGCCTCTGCGCCTAGCAGTTTCTCTTGCTTGGCAGGAAGAAGAAGCTCGCCTGGCTGCTGCGGCAGAGCCGCTGTCTTTCCTTACTGGAGCACCTCTTCAGGCTGGAGGGCACTTCTGCTGGATGGAGGCAGTCCTGCCTGGCAGCGCGCATGAGGGCCAGCACAGACAGGGCAGTGGACTTCTATCTGTCAGCAGCCTGCGCGAGCGATGATGCTGGCTTGGAAATGATCATATAGTTCATTACCACCATCTATCTTACATTTGGAGAAAGACGATACCCTCCAAATATTTGTAGTACCGTAAGAAGCAATACATACAAATTATTAAATATTCATGTGTCCCTTCGCATTCAGATTAAATCCTTTTATTGTTACAGGATCTGTAAATATCTCCCAGGACACAGAAGGGAAAGGACAGATCATATAGCATTACCACCATCTATCTTACATTTGGAGAAAGACGATACTCTCCAAATATTTGTAGTACCGTAAGAAGCAATACATACAAATTATTAAATATTCATGTGTCCCTTCGCATTCAGATTAAATCCTTTTATTGTTACAGGATCTGTAAATATCTCCCAGGACACAGAAGGGAAAGGACAGGAGAAGCAGGCAGTTATTTGGGAGTATTTGCTGGGCTTGGTTGTTTTTTGTTGCGTCCCTAATGAAGAGTCCATCCCCAGCATCCCTATAGCCCCCGTTCAGATACTGGAAGGCTGCTATGAGGTCTCCACGCAGCCTTCTCTTCTCCAGGCTGAAGAGCCCCAACTTTCTCAGCCTGTCTTCATACGGGAGGTGCTCCAGTCCCCTGATCATCCTCGTGGCCCTCCTCTGGACTTGTTCCAACAGTTCCATGTCCTTTTTATGTTGAGGACACCAGAACTGCACACAATACTCCAAGTGGCGAGAGAGCAAGCAGGCCAACCCAATATGGGCGATAAGCAACTTCTAATTTATTTGTGACGCAGTTCACACATATATAGGAGTGGTATTCAGCCACTCCTTCTTGGCACAACAGTATTGGTTAGCCCCCCCACAGCTTCCTCCACATTCTCCTCCCAGGTCCGGTCTCCGGCCACCTGTGGGGGCCACCCCCTGCCTTGCTTGCACAGTCCTCCAGAACTCTATGGTCCTGCTCTTAGAGTCATTCTGCAACAGCACCTAAAGACTAGATTTTATGGGGAGGAAAAAAAATATTAACGGAGGGACAGCATCTGCAACCAATGGGATTCGCCTTCTTCTACCCCATAAATATTAATTTTGGCATTTTGAGCCTGTGTCGTGGAGCCAACATCATGGAGCCCCTTGAGAGGCAGGAGGGAAGTCTGCACTGGAGATGTGTCATGGTTTCAACCCAGCCGGCAGCTAAGGACCACGGGGCCACTTGCTCACCCCTGTTCTGTCCCCTGGGTCAGCTGTCCTGTCTCTGCTTCCTCCTGGCTTCCCCTCCTCCCTGGCAGAGCATGAGACTCAGAAAGTCCTTGGTCAGACTAAACATTACTTAGCAACAACTAAAAACATCGGTGTTATCAGCGTTGTTCCGAGGCTAAAGTCAAAAACACAGCAGTGCACCAGCTACTAAGAAGGAGAAAAATAACGGCTACTGCTGGACCCAGGACAGTAAGGAAACATTTTTCCTTGCTACCTGCAAGTGTAAACTCAACATTCCCAAGCTTTCATACACATAGTCCTTGATCCAGCTCCATCACTCAGGAGATCCCTCCAGACCGCCCCTTTACCTCCCCTTTGAGGCTGAAGAAGGTGGCATCTTCAAAGCGGGATATCACATTCGCTTTACTCTTTAGAGTGTTCCTCAGGATATCTGCTTCGCTCAGCTTCCTGAGGGCCTTTGTGCAAGCACACGGAGAGCAGGTGAGATTAGTGCAGAGCCCATGGCTACCCTTGTCCTCCCCCATTGCCTCTGGCATCTGTCTTCAGAGGGTCTGTTTCTTCCCCTGGTGATACCTGCACAAACAGTCATGTTTTTGACTGTGTGCCTCAGAGCACAGGCACCGCTGATCGTTCAGGCCTCCTCCCTGCTAATGCCCCTCATGCTAAGGGCACAGCACCCAATGCCTCTTCCCACACAAGAGGCAAACCAAAGGAAGAAGTGAGGCTCAGAGCTCAACATCTTCCTTCCAAGGACCCACAAAGTCATGTCCTAGTGCAACGCAAACTTGTCCTTCCCAGAGCCAGGCAGGACACACTGCAAGCAGGGCAACTCACCATGTAGTAGTTGGAGACATGCAGGTAGGCAGCTGCAGTCTCCAGAAGATAGTAAAAGGCTCTGGCAGCATTGCCCAGTGTTGTGTAGTGGTGAACCAATGGCACAAGCACTGACTCCACGATGCCTTTGCAGTCACATGAGAGCGCATTGTTGTCCTCTCTGTCAGTCGCACTACCCAGAGGACAGTGCCCAGGGGAAGAAGAGAGCAAAGAATACAAGGGTATCATCTAGAGTGGTCTTCCTTCCCAGAGACAACATCAAAAGCCCTTTGTGCAAAGCAGAGCAGGAAGCCACAGACAGGTACTAGTCATACAAGTCCTTTGGGAGGAGGGAGTAAGGAAGAAGCTAGGCTTTCTGTCACCTCCCACAGGCAAACCAGCTGAGCCCTTGTGGTGGCTTTTTCCCTGTAGATTTTGCAGTACTACTCTGCAGGAACTGGAAAGCGAGGGCTTCTTTGACACTGAGCCATGGGCGTCCTTAAGCACTCATCTCCACAGCCATCTCCTCTCAGCTCCCACCCCACGGAAAGCCTCTTCGCTAAGCTAGAGTCACAGCTGACAGCCAAAAGCCAGCATTTTCTTTGTCTCCTCTGCACACCCTGAACTCGCTCGCTTCAAAAAGAATCAGAACCTTGTCTGCTCACCCAAAATCCTCTTCCACAAAAGCTTGCTGCTGCTGCTGCTCCTCCTGAGTATCTGTAATACCTTGAAAGAAAAAGAGGGACACCTCCCACACGTATCCTGGGATAAGAGTTGCTCTCCCTCTCCCAGTAGGCCTGCAAGGATCCTTGCAAGGCGCTAACACACCGAGGAAAGTCTGCAGTGGGTGTCCACTCCTGCTGGGCTCGTTCCTAGCAGATCTACTCCCACTCGACCCCCGGCACCAATCCCTGGGCTCCCGGAGGGCCCAAATTACAGAGCATGGTGCACAGCATACCTGCAGAGATGTAAAACCTCTCCTTCTTCAGCTGTTTTCCAGCCAGCACCAAGGCCTTCCAGGTGTGTGGGTCATCCCCACCATCAAAGTCCTTACAGCTCCCTTTGTCCTGGGTGCTGGTGACAGCGAAGCGGTGGAAGACAATAAAGTCCCCTTGGCCGCAGCTCTGGCATTTGTGTGCATACCGCTCCAGGAAGGCAGCACACTTGGAGTGCAGGGTGACCCGCTGTTTCTGGACCCACAGCTCGTAGGCAGCCTCCCGCAGCAGCGGCTTATGGAACATCAGCACACCAAATGGACACCCCACACTCTGCTTGCTTGGGGGGGAGGTCTCCACACCTGCAAGGCAAAGGGCCTTTGTATGAGCCCAAGCTGTGGCCAGATGGGGAGGCAGTCATGCCTCGGTGCACATCCTGAATAGCAACAGGCTGCTGCACGCCAAGCCCTGCAGCATGGGGTGAAAGGGCTGATGCTAGCACAGCCTTGGGGATGCAGTTCTCAGCTGCACTGGTCCAGGCAGGAGCTGGGGATGTTGTTGCCAGCCAAAGCAAGCCCCAGCCAGCACTTTCTCCCCACTCTTGGCAAGGCAGCCACCAGCCTCCTGAGCAGGAACCCTGCATCACAGGGTAATCAAAGCCATTCTGGATCTTTTGTCTGGATGAATAAAAGCTTGCTGAAGACCCTGGGCCATTCTGGAGGGCATCTTTTGTCTGGATGCTGCAGGTGGCTGGGAGAGGATGTCACGGATTCCATCCGCTACGAGCAGCACTTGGATTCAGGGGAGCAGAGGCATTTGGGACAGCTGGTGGGAACTTCCCTCCAGTGCAAACCTAGTGTGCTTTCAGACTGACTTGTAACAGCTTTGACAAACCCATCCCCAACAGCCATGCCAGCCCTCACAGGAAGGGAATCACGCCATGCCCTTAGGAGCCCATCCAGGACACATCTGGGAGCTCCTTGTCCACCCCACTGCTACCACTTACCAATCTCTGCCTGCGGAGGGGTGGCTGGCTCCTTGCTAGGATCTTGGACGTCTTCTGGCTCCTCAGTGCTCTCCATCCACTTGAGGATGTTGTCACTCACTAGACTGTCCAACAAGGTAGTCATCTTGTGCCTCATTCTAATCGGAAGAATGTATGACAGCAGCTGCGTAGTGAACACCGGCCCGATGATGGCTGCAAACTTCAAAACTGTCTGCTCCAGTGGGGTGATCTCGTCCAGCTGAGCCAGCACAATCTCTGTCAAGGAGAAGCCACACATCTCAGTCCTGCCTCTTCCCCACGCTGAGGCTGGAGGCACTGCAAAGATTCGACACATGAACAGGATAGGCTTTGGCCCTACACTGGCCACTTCTGGGCAACTGCAGCCCAGGACAGGTGTCTGCACAATGGCTCCGCTCCTACTGGATTTGCAGTTCACAGGGCCTGGGAAAAAGTGAGACACTCAACAGACACACTCCCCCACTGGGATAGGGCAGGATCCAGCAGGTACGTGCGTCCCACAATGTGCCCTACCAAACCTGGACTAGGTTTTTGCCAGCACTGCAAGCAGGGAACAGACAACTTTCACCACCTCAGAGGTGAACTCAGAGCTCCCGAGAAAGGTTGTCTCAACTCAGCCAGACCTTACTCTTCTTTTCTTTGACTTTTCTTCTTGGGTTGCTTTGGGCAAAACAACTTAAGAGCAGGAATGTTTCTTCAAGGTTCATACAAATGGCTACTGACAGACAGGAGGGACATTCAACAGTCATTGACAGTTCCCCTGGCTACAGGGGAACTTCCATGAAAATCCGCAGGAAAGTGGTTTATTTTTTTTAATTACGTGTGTCTTGGGTTCAGCAGGAGCAGTCATTTTTCTCCTTCTTAGTAGCTGGTGCACTGCTGTGTTTTTGACTTTAGCCTCGGAACAACGCTGGTAACACCGATGTTTTTAGTTGTTGCTAAGTAATGTTTAGTCTGACCAAGGATCTTCTGAGTCTCATGCTCTGCCAGGGAGGAGGGGAAGCCAGGAGGAAGCAGAGACAGGACAGCTGACCCAGACTAGCCAAAGAGGTATTCCATACCACAGCACATCATGCCCAGGATGTAAACTGGGGGCAGTTACCAGGAAGGGTCAGATCCCTGCTTGGTCGGACTGGGTATCGGTTGGCAGGTGGTGAGCGGTTGTATTCTCTTCCCTTGTTATTTCCCTTATCATTATTATTATTGGTGGTAGCAGTAGTGGTTTGTGTTATACCTTAGTTACTCAACTGTTCTTATCTCAACCCATTGGAGTTACATTCTTTCCATTCTCCTCCCCCTCCCACCGGGAGGGGGGGTGGGGGGGAGTGACAGTGTGAGATGCGTGGCTGGGCTTAAACCACCACAACATGCCATGAAACCATTGTTAGCTGGGGAACTCAAAAAGAAAGTAGCAAGATAGAATGTTCAAAGGTGAGTCAGAGGCAAGTCAAATTTTTGTCCCAGTAGAGACAAAGTAGCTTCTGTGAGAAAAGGGAGTCATTTTAGTGTTGCACCAACAACTTTTCCTCTTCTACCTGCTGCTGGAAAGCAACCAGCAGGCTCAAGCTGCTCCACACACAGGAAGGGAAAATGGTTGCCCACAGTGCCAGGACTGTTGCTGGTTGGAGCAGAGCCACCTTTTCCAAGGACAGCCCCAAAGCTGAGAGGGTGACTCTGCAGCACAGTGATGCCCAGCCTCCCTCCAGCCCCTGCGGCACAGCCAAGGGCCAGCAGAGTGGCTCTCTGCCCCTCACCTTTCAAGTTACTGGGCAGCATGGTGCTGTCCAGGTTCACGCCTGGCCTTACAATGCAGATCATGGCCGCAGCCCCTGCTCTGGACCTTGAGCTTGCTGTGAGGGATGACTCCAAGACTGCAAAAGCTAGGTGGAGGAAGAGAGAAGGAATGAGGCAATTTGCAAAGTGACCTGCAGCCTGAAAATGTTTCCAAGTTCACCTGAAATAGTCCAAGGCCCCCTCACACCACACAGTACACGTGCACTGACCTGCGGGTGCTGAACATGCTCTCTAAGCAGAGCAAAATAGTTTTCACTGGAAGTTTCCCGCGCCTGGCCCTCACCTCAAGCTGGAGTTTGTTCTCAGTTAAGCTAGCATTTGGCCAACGTAAGTTCTGTGCTCATGAGAACGTCTCAGGACCACAACACACGTGGTCCAGAACCATTTCCCCTGAGGTTTAGCCCCAAGAACTGAGGCCCCTCCAAGCCACAACTTGTGAGCCACTGCTTTGGCTGTCCTGACAACAAGGCACACAGAAGCCCGTGCCTCTGCCAGGCCAAGTTCTGCATGATCTGCTGCAAGATCTTACTCTGCCCCTAATCCATGGGGCAATGAAGGGGCAAGTTTGTGCTGTAGGGAATGCAACACAGCAACTCATTAGTCAGTGGCAAAGGTTCTTACTGTTCAGGTTCTCCCAGCTGTCCTCTGCTTTTTCACCCCACTTCTTGGTGCGGAACAAGAGCATGTCGTTGCAACGAAGGAAGTGCACCAGCTCCTCCAAGTAATACGGGATCCCCAAGCTTCTTTGGACCAGGAACCTGGGCAGGAACAGATCCAGCAGTGATCAGCACAAGAAAAGTAGAATCATAGAAAAGGACCTTAGGATCATCTAGTTCCAACCCCCTGCCATGGGCAAGGACACCTCACACTAGACCATGTCGCCCAAGGCTCTGTCCAACCCGACCTTGAACACTCCCAGGGGTGGAGCATTCACCACATCTTTGGACAACATGTTCCAGTGACTCGCCACCCTAAAAGGAAAAACAGTTGAGGTGGGTAGCAAGCCACTCAGGCATAGCTGGGGAGCCAGCATCTTTGTCACAGCTACACCTCACTTCTGAAAGGGAGGTCCTCCTGCTGGCATGTGGTTTTTGGCCCCCCTGAACCTCCAGCCTTTGCTGAAGTCCCTGGGGAAAGACTTGCAGACAGTGCCCAAAGCACAGAGCAGCAAGCCCTGCCTTTCCTCTCCTCAGGAGCTTAGGTGCTCGCTGGCAGCAGGGCAGACTTCTGCCCCAGGGAATCTGCCACACAGCCTGGCCACTTAGACCAAGCCCTTTTCACACCCCAGATATGCTTGGCCTTGGGGGTCTTCCTCCCTTCCTCCTTGTGAAACAGCAAAGGGTTGGCAGCTCCTATGCTTCGTGTCCAGGGAGCTCCCCTGCTCCAACTTACCTCACTAAAGCCCTAGGGATGCTGACCACTCCAAGGTCGTGGCAGAGCTTCTGCGCCACAGCTGAAGGTTTCAGCTTCTCTAGTTGAAAGCAGATGATTTTATGGGACATCAGGTTGTTTGCTGTGGCTTTGTGAAAGCTCTCGGTTCTTGCAAAGCCGGGACATAAGCTCATGACCATGAAGACAGAGATGTTCCAGAGCAGAGGTGCCATGATACTCCAGGAGGCGGGGTCAATGAAATGGGCATTGTCGATGACAAATATGGCATTTCTGTCAATGGTCTGGAAAAAAAAGGGTTGTTCTGAGGGGAATCCAGTGGATTCTCAAGTGTCTTACGGGGAAGGAGATTTTGCCTCTGTCTCTTGAGAGGATGCTCTCAAGTCTCACCCCAACCAACTCCGTGCTTGGAAGCTTCCCAATGCCTAATTTCTTTGAGATTTTCAGGTCATGCTTAACATCACCTGCCCTGCAGAAGGAGGGA